CTCTCTCTCTCTCTCTCTCTCTCTCTCTCTCTCTCTCTCTCCCCCTCTCTCCCTCTCTCCCTCTCCCTCCCTCTCTGTGTTTCTGTGGGTTTCAGATGTACATGTGGGTGCCAGTGCACCTGAATACCTGTCCTTGTGGTGAAAGGCTGATGTGGGATGTCAGCCTCAGTTACTCCACCATATTCCTCGAAACAAAGTCTCTCACTGAACCTGAATTCAGCTCACTGTCTGACTGGCTAGCTCTGGGATTCACTTGAATCTACCTCCCCAGCTCTGCGGTTGCAGACACAAGCAGCCTTCTCTGTGGCACTGGGGTCTGAACTCAGGTCCTCATGCTTGCACAGCTAGCACTTTACCACTGGGCCATCTTCCCTGCCCCAAATCATTTTTAATTGTGAATTTTATATATCACCCACCTCCCAAATCCACAAGAAATACATCACAATATTCCTTAGCAGATACTCTGAACCTTGAATGGAAATGATCTTGGTATAAACTTTTTCTTATGCATATGTATCTATGATAATGTTAGATTCATAATATAGGCACTGCAAGTGATTAGGGATAGTTGATAATCCAGCAGACCAGTTATAACAATATACTGTAATGAATGTTATTTAAAACTTGTGAATTTTTCAATTTAGTATGTTTTATTCTTTGTCGACCACACAAGTAACAGAAACCACAGCAAACAAAAGTACCACTGTACTAAATAGGGTGCGGTTTATTTGTTTTTGCAATGGTCTCAGATAGCCCATGCTAGCCTCAAGTTTATTGCATAGCTAAGGCTTGTCTTAAGCTTCCAGTCTTCCTTCTCCACCTCCCAAGTGCTGAGATTACAGGTGTGAGCTACCACTCCCACATTAGATGTTCTGAAAAGTGGTCTGTTGGGCCCACAGCTTCATTGGTAGGTGGCTTGCCTAATGTATCAACTACTTTCTTGCTACTATGATGAAACACCATGACCAAAAATAACTCAGAGAAGAGTTTATTTTGACTTATGGTTCCAAAGGGAGAGTCCACGGTGGCAGGAGAGGCATTGGTAGTAGATAGCCAGAGCAAGAGGCAGAAAGGTCCCATGGCAGCCCCCACCACAGGAAGCAGGGAGCATAGAGTAGAAATTGGGTGAATGTTGAAATAGGAGCGGCGGGGCTGCGTCCCCAACACCCCGGCCGCTTGGCTAGCTTATGCCCGAAATAACAACACACAAACTGTATTCAATTAAACACTGCTTGGCCCATGAACTCTAGCCCTTACAGGCTAATTCTCGCACCTGGACTAGCCCATTTCTAATGATGTGTGTAAGCACCCCAAGGTGCGCTTACC